CAAAAAAAGATGGCGGTGCCCAGCAACCAGCGGCCCGGTAAGACTTGTTCCGCGGACCGGTACCGGTCCGCGGACCGGCGGTTGGGGACCCCTGCTCTAGACCAAATAAGATGGCTTTTGGACATTTCCGTTTGCGCTCAACAGCTTCTCTGATGAGGATTGGGATATTTTTTGTCTGATTTATGTTTTTTTATGGATTGGGTTGTGGATTGGGTTGTGGTTGTTGGGTAGAGATTTGGTTTGTAGCTATTGGATGTTCAGATTTTTGCGTTGTGTCTTTTTTTTTCAAGGTTGAATACACTAATTGTTAATCAATTAATTACACTAATCATTAATCACATTCAATTAAATTCACAATCAATAATTTTATTAATCAATTAAATTACATAAATCTTGATCTTTTAATCAGTCCTTTTCTCTGTAAATTATCTAAATGGGTAGCCAACAAATGCATGTAGCAACCTCTATAGTTTAAGAATTCCATTAAACGCTTTATTAGTCCTAAATTTCCCCACATTCTGGTTTTAGTGGATGATCTTAATTCTGGGAGAAGAAAAAAAATTCCTCCCTTTGACTCTGTTTTCCTTACCCTGTTTAATACTTCTATCATATTTTCTTTTACTAGTCTTCAAAAGCTGCAAATTCGGAAATGTAGGAAAATTCTAGCCCCTCCCCCCATTATTTGAATGGGGTTTTTTGCATTTCCCCCCTAATTTGATAATATTGTCTAATGTGTGGTTATAATTTTTTCAAAATGTAACTATATAATGGATTTTTGAATTGAGTATTTAAAAAAGGAACAACTAGCAATTCAGTCAGCATTTTCACTGAATTATAGAAGATACCTCCAAAACATTTTGGGGCTAATCACTTCCAATTTAGACCTGACCAATAAACCACAACTACTACCACCACTGTTCTCTTTCTCTTTTTCCTCCTTCCTTTTCCTTTTTACCACTCCAAATAATTTGGCATTAATCTATCTCAATGCTCATTCCTAACTTCATGGATAAGCAAGTTAAAAACATTGTTCCCAATACAAATCAGTGAAGTACTCCATTTTTAAAAAAATGTCAGTGTATTCCTTTTCTTGTTCTTTAACTCACTTATCAGTACCTCCTTTTTGACCCTTATAAGGATCATTGAATATTAAGCTTGTTCAAGACCTTGCATGTTGTTGCAGAATACTCAGTATTGATATTACTTAGCTTTGGAGGGGTGCTGCAGATGCAAAGAGATCAAGGAAACTATGGAACAGAACAGAACAGAATAGAATAGAATAGAATTCTTTATTGGCCAAGTGTGATTAGACACACAAGGAATTTGTTTCTGGTGCATAAGCTCTCAATGCACATACAACAATAGTGATAAGCAACAAAGTTATAGTCATAAGATAAGGAGATAGGTAAGAGGGAAGATGAGAATAATGATGGTAATACTGCCTTTTTAGATAGTTTGACAGTGTTGTGAGAATTAGTTGTTTAGCAAAGTGATCACATTGGGGGAAAAACTGTCCTTGTGTCTAGCTGTTCTGATGTGCAGTGCCCTATAGTGTCATTTTGAGAGAAGAAGTTGAAACTGTTTATATCCAGGATGTGAGGGGTCTTTAGATCTTTTCACAGCTCTCTTTCTGGCTTGTGCAGTATACAGGTCCTATATGCTAGCAATTTGCCATCATGGAAGCAAATAAGACAATTTAACATCGCTATTCTTCAATAGCCAACAGCATAGCCAACTGCATGGATATGAAAGTATTTTAATCTTTGTCAAATGTGTCTGACATTTCAATGTTTCTCTTGTTTCAGAGCAGCATTGACAACTGGACCAAAAGGCATTGGAGAGAGATTAGTATGGAACAGATGGAGGTTGAACTCAGAAGATTTGCAAAAGCAAGTACTATAACTATTATTATCCTTCCTCCATTTATTCTATTGCTTTGTCTACTGTTCTCATATGTGATTAACTTCTGTTTCTCTTGTAAACAAATTTTGGATTTTTCTCCATTCTTGCCAAATTTTCATACAAGATTACCAAATCTGTGAAAAATTTGGCATTCTTCATAAACATTTGCAGGATTTTATTTTGAAAAATGGGAAAGCTTGGTTTGTACTTATACTAACCAAGCATGTACTATGATGCCAAACATTTGCAAAATTTTCTTACAGGTTGTTATCATTCACGCATTCAGCAATCATTTAAATTTACAAGGCAACTGAATGAGTGATATCTATAACCGGTTGCCCAAGTTCTGGCTCTTATGGTCCTATGGTCATGTGATGGTAATCTGGGTGATGGGCAACTGGTCTGGATTTCTGATTGCTGCTGTATCTTGTGGTCATGTGTGATTAGGATTTGTGACCTACCCTGCTGCCCCCCAAGCAAAGTCAATGGTCATATCTGATTCTCACTATGCTGATTCGCTTAAGTATGGTAATTGGGGATTGCCAGAAATTCTATCACTAAGTGGCAGGGCCACATGGATGCCACATTTTTCAACTACTTCACTTAGTGATGGAAATTTTAGTCCCAACATTAATGGAAATTTTAATCCAATTATCATTGAGTGAGACCACAATATAATTGGATTAACGGGTGCTAAATGACACAAAGTATTTTATGATGCTTTCTCTTAGGAGATATGGTCCCTGGATAAAGAGGTTCGTTCCTGGAATGTATATACAAGCCTAGAATTAACTATTAAGAACCTTTTGACATCACTGAGAGTTGTAATAGAATTGCAGAATCCAGCAATTCGAGATCGACACTGGTATCAGCTCATGGAGACCATAGGCGTAAGTATTTTTCTAATTTCTTTGTAAAAATTCCTAGATCTATGATCATGCCTTTTATATGAATAAATTGAAAAAAATCATTTTTTATTTCTTGAAACTATTGATTTTTTTAAAAAAAGTTCTTTAATGTTATAATTTATGTTAATACTTGTGTGCCTTCTCTCTCATAGCAGACACCCTCTAGATTGAGTTTCCTCCCAGGATCTGGATTAGGCCTGAGCATTTTATAGACCTTGGGTTACACCTGGCCCTTTGGCTGTCCTGTCCAGCCCATACGAGGTCAATAAGAAATTAGAAATAAAATGAAAATTAGTTTACACCATACATATAATAAAACTGCATTTTATGTATTTTATTTTGAAGGTGTCTAGTATTGTGTTTTTTTTCAATTTACATATGTGCGTGTGTGCATGCTTATGCACCTTTACTGGTCTATTGGTTCAACCCTCTACAACAATCACAGTTTCTCATGTGACTCCTTAGAATAATTAATTGCCTACCCCTGATCTTGGTGATTTCCATCCTACTTGTGTTTCAGAGGGCTTTGAAGACCTAGCTGTTTATATAGGGTACATGTAGCCTCTTCCAAACATATTATACTATATTATATTGTTGCCCGGTTTTGGTATTTCTGCTTTCCAGATTATCTTCTTTTATGCTGCCATTATTGTTTTATAGTTCTCTTATTTTCTTTTAAAGATTCCAGAATTGTTTGGAGTTGGGCAGTGTGCAGTTAAATGAAAAAATAAAATAAAATACCACAGCTTAGGAAAGAATCTTTGTAATTCAACCTGAAATGCTGTTAGTAATTGCTCCTTTGCAAATTCTACAGAAACAATCGAAGGACAAAATGTTATGTTTCTGATTGATTTATTGTAATGGCTTTACTGTCTTTTCTATGTTTGTTTTATTTTTTTCAATGTTAATAAATTTATGAGGGGTCCTTGGTGTTTTCTGAGCTAGTTTTTCTTGCCAATACTTTGTTACCCAAACTAGATAACAACATCAGTGCTCATCAATGCACTGATAATGTTACCTAGTTTGGGTAATGAAAACAACAAAGAAAACAACCAAGTTCTGGGGGCACTAAGGACCTCATTTCAATCTTGAGCTACAAATATTCTCCTTCATTGGTAATAATAATATTTTAGACTTTTGATCTCTTTTGCTTCAACAGGATGAAAATTGTATCACCAACTAATTTTCCAGCGTTATTTCGTTCTTTGCTTATATATAAATATACAATATTTTGTTGCCTTTTCAGGTTCCGTTTTCCATAACTGAAGATACAACTTTAGCTAATCTGCTGGCACTGAATCTGCATAATGTGGAAGATGATGTCCGAAACATTGTTGACAAAGCAGGAAAAGAACTTGGAATTGAGAAGGTTAATCCTGTTCTTTCCAGGATTCTTTCCAAAATTTTATTCTGAATGTCAGCTTGGATTTTAGAATTACTCGATTCTTAGTTTAAATAGAACTGAAGCATTAGAATTTTATCTAGAGAATTTAGGCTCTTTTTCAGACTTTGATAGACAATATTGTTCATTATGACTTTGTTTCCACTTCCATTTATGCCTCCTCTACATTTTCAGTTGTGCAATTTTAGTGATGCACAATCGAGTATATTCTTAAGTGGACTTGGTGAAATGTTAAATATAATTATATTAAAATTTACTTCTGAATGGTGATTTAAGTTATGAAAGAATATACATAGGTGAGTTGCTGTATTCCTAAAATGAACCCTGATGTGATCAAATGTATGATCAGATTAATACTACTTTTTGAAATTTTATTAATGCACCCACATACTAATAATATCAGTGGCATGAAAGATGGAATTGAGTAAAATTAACTGAACATGGATGCAAGTGGAATGTCTTCACAATCCAGATTTAGTTTTAGAAGTATTCCTATGTAAATTGAAATTCAGGAAGAACAGAACAGAAGATAGTGTGAAACAAATATGCCCTATTAGGAAAATCCCCTCACACTTATTTTTCCTATATTTTGGCCCACTTGATAGTTTTTTATAAATTTATTTTTGAAAAACATTTTGAATTTGAATTATTTTGAATTTGAAACACTCACCTCAATTTCATAACATCCATTCCCAATGTAAAATGCTTGTTTTAAGTGCAAACCATTGTTTTCCTTTGAAATATTTTGTAAATTTGCAATGTTTTCAAATGTAAATCACTTGAATAGTACACATAATCTATGATATCAATGGTATATAAATTTGATTATTAATGGTACTGCATCTCAGGTGAATTGTATAAATATTGATTTAAACATTACTTTAGTCAAAGTATTTCATTATGTTCTTCTTTTTTCATTATGTTAATTAGATTCTGATAGAAATTAGTCAAACATGGGCTGCAATGGAGTTTTCTTATGAACAACATTTCAGGACCAATATTTCCTTGCTGAAAATAGACGAACAGCTTTTTGAGACTTTAGATAATAATCAAGTAAGATCTGGTTTACTAATGAGAAAATGTGCTTGTTGCTGAATTCCTATTGTGCTTTTTTTTTAAAAAAATGGATTAACTCACATCTCTGTTTTCACAATTTTATTTACAGTGAATCTTAGCTGTCCCAGATGTTAGTCTGTCAAATTATATGTGTTCTTGACTGTATATGGTTTAACAAAAATTCCTGTCTGTGTAGGAGTTTACAAAATTACAGGTCCTTGGTGTGTCTCCTTTTCCTCTAGATAATATGGAATCATTTAATAATATGCTGTCCATTTGTAAGGTTTGAAAATGTCTTTTGCTGTGATTTACTGTTATAATAGCTTGCAGGAGATTTTTTTGTAAAACTTTTGTAGCTATGATTCCTGTGTCTCTTTGAGTAATTTTCTGTATCCTTTAATTTCATTTCCTTCTCTTTTTCTTAAGATTCAGTTGCAAACAGTTCTGCAAAGTAAATATGTTGAATATTTCATTGAACAAGTATTAACTTGGCAAAAAAAGCTGAATATGGCAGACTCTGTCATTTATATATGGATGGAAGTTCAGCATACATGGTCTCATCTCGAAAGCATTTTCATTGGTTCAAATGACATCAGAGAACAGCTTCCTGAAGATTCAAAGAGATTTGATTGCATTGATATGGATTTTAAGGTTAATGAAAAATAAGTCGGCTATATAAATCATAATCAAAATTTCCTTTTCTTTTTCATTTTTTACATGCAGATTGTACCAACATTTTAAAAAGCATTCCCATGAAATTATTTATGTACATTATATATAAGGAAATAATGTATACTGTTTTAAGTAATTAATCATAATAATCTGTCCCAAGAATATCAGTCCAAACAATACAAAATGAAATGATACCCAAATCACACATAAAAATATTTTGTGAACTATTTATTACTTTCTTTAAACCCAATAGTATAGAAATAGTAAGTAACATTTAAATGTATTTGTTCTGCCTTCTACTTCTTCAAAATGATTATGGCATATTTCATGTACAAGCAAAACTTCAGATCAATAGATATTTAATGAACATGGCATTTGAAGCCTTACTTCAATTTCTTAATTATTGTAAAATATCAAGTTTGGGTGATTTTTCTTGGTCTTAAGTAAGAACCTTTCAGCATTGCTATATTGCCATGAAGTTTCAATGCATTCTGACATTGTCAAAGAGATAAACATGTAATCAATACATTTATGGATTCCATTCAAATGTTAATAAATCCATCCCTTGCAACTTGAAATGTAGAAAAGGGCAAACTATTGTAAAGTAGTATTATTGAATTTTCAGCTTTAAAAGCAAGGTTTTTTTAAAAAAACAAACAAACAAAGAAGCAGTAAGAAAAGAAAACTATATGAGCACTACCATTTATTGCTACTACCTGCAGAAAAAAGGAAAAGTATATTTGCTGCAGGAAAACCTATCCCCGACTTTAGCTAATATTGGAAAGAAGGCAGGCAGAATCAAATTATGATAGGATAGCCCAAAACATAAAATGGAAGATTGACAAAAATGTTTTACGAAGAAGGCAATAGAAACTGTATGTATATCTTCTAAGATGAAAGAGTCAAAAAATGTTTTTACTACATGGATAGTCCTCAACTTACAACCATTTGTTTAGTGGCCATTCAAAGTTACAACAGCACTGGAAAAAAGTGACTTATTGTTTTTCTCACTTAAGACCATGGCAGCATCCTCATGGTCATATGATCAAAATTTGGACATTTGGCAACTGGTTCATCTTTATGATAGTTGCAATGTCCCAAGATCATATGATCACCTTTTGCAAATTTCTGACTGGCAAAGTCAATGGGGAAGCCAGATTTACTTAACAATCGTGTTACTACTTTAGCAGCTTCAGTGATTCATTTTACAACTGTAGCCAGAAAGATAATAAAACTGGGCAAAACTCATTTAACAACTGTCTCACTTAGCAACATAAATGTTTGGTTCAGCTGTGGTTATAAGTCGAGGACTACCTATACAGAAAAACTAATTAGCAAGTATGAAAATATTTCTCTAGAACTTCAGGTATCTTTTGTGAGAAATGAAGAAGCAGATAAGGAAAATATCCATATATTTTTTTTAAAAAAATGTCTATACCTCTTTTACTATATGTAGTACTCCAATATTAACTGGACATTTTGAAAACAGAAATGTGAGTATGAATACAGCTAGTGCACAACCAACAACCACAACTTAGTCCAAAATTTCTGTTCTAAACAAGACAATTGTTAAGTGAATGTTGCCCCATTTTATGATCTTTCTTGCCGCAGTTATTAACTGAATCACTGCAGGTTAGGTATTATAACCTGTTAGATTATAACATAGTTGTTAAATGAATCTGGCATTCCCCATCTAACTCTGTATGTCAGAAGGTCACAAAAAAGTGATCACATCATCCTGGGACACTGCAACCATCATAAATATGAATCAGTTGTCAATGTCTGAATTTTGATCACATGACCATTGGGCTGTTGCAAAAGTTATAAGTCGGTCATAAGCCACTTTTTTTTAGCCAATTAACTTCAAATGGTCACTAAATGAACTGTTGTAAGTTGAGGACTATCTACCTTGCTAACATTTTTGAAGGATATGGAATTTTATTCCTTGCTGCCCAAAGTATAGTAATTTAAAATAAATATATGGTTCCCTAGAAAAGATAAAACACAATTTTCAATAAATTATTAATACTACTTTTTTCAGAAATATAGGGGAAAAAGTCAAAATATGTCTGAAATTGGTATTTACTGATACGAAATTGTGATCGTTATTTGACTTGATTTATGTAACACTGCTATTCCTTTGAAATGTAGATAACTTTATAATGTGTAAATAGGTGCTGTTTTCCAGCAACAGTTGTTTTTAAAATCAGTACCACCAGGTCAGGGTGTTTTTTTTCACACATATTTGAGGATACTTTATACTAGTAGAAACATTATGCTTAGCATAATGAAGATAAGGAAAATATTTTCTTTTCCTCAAAAAATGAGAAATTACATAAATCTTTTTTCACAAATTAAAAGAAATATTTTTGCTCCTGAACCTAGGAATTAATGAATGATTCAACAAATACCAGAAATGTATTGGAAGCAGCAACCAAGCCTAATATGCATGAAAAACTTCAAGATTTGCAGCATAGGTATTGTTCAGCCAGTTGTTTTTATATAATTAAATATATAATAGTTAGCAGCAGTTATGTATCATGATTTGATAATTGTTTAAAGTTTTATTTAAAATAATATTGATTTTTTAAATCATAGATTTGCAGGGCTTAATAATAAATACTTCTACTACATGAAAAAAGTCCCACATTCACATTCCATAAATGCAGTCATTTAAATAGAATGTAATGCTTCTTCACAGATATGGACTGTTCAGTTTGCTCATTAAACAGTTTTATTCATAACTGTCTCATCCTTGACACAACAGAAAACTCTTATTTCATGCAAAAATACTGTACATACAGTAGATTTTAATTACTTATATTTTTTTAGGCTATTGTCCTTCTGATTCAAATACCAATTTACACACAGTTGCTTTAGTAATTCACAGTTTACTCATATTCAGGAGATAACAGTCAAAACATGCAAATCACTTGACTGATTTGATTTTAAATAAGAGCATCCAGAAGAATAGTCCAAAATCAGTCCAATGTTCTAAGAGCCATGTTGGGATTGTCAGCTAGTTAGGGTGTTTATACAAACAGGATTCACACAAACATAATGCGAGATGTCAGACTAGTGGTGGAATTCAAATTTTTTACTACTGGTTCTATGGGCATGGCTTGGTGGGCGTGGCTTGGTGGGCATGGCAGGGGAAGGATACTGTAAAATCTCCATTCCCACCCCGCTCCAGGGGAAGGATACTGCAAAATCCCATTCCCTCCCCACCCCACTAACCTGCTTTCCAGCTCTGTTCTCCTGTGCAGGGCAACAAAAGAAGACACGGCTGATTAGCTAGGAGTTGGGAGGCAGGGAATAGATGGGGGTGGGGCCAATCAGAGGTGGTATTCCAAACTACTCAAAATTTCTACTACCAGTTTCCCCAAACTACTAAAAATTTCTGCTATCGGTTCTCCAGAACTGGTGAGAACCTGCTGAATACCACCTCTGTGTCAGACAGTTGTTTTTAGTAAAGAAACATGGGTGAGAGCTGCCTCTTAAACCTGTCTGCAGCCAATTGTCACTAATCAAGAGTTTTACTCCCTTGCAGGCAAGACGTCTCAGCGAACTGCTCTGCTCCTTACTTTAACTGGTGTGAGTGCTTGGAAAGCCATTTGATTGCTTTAGCTATCCAAGTGATACCTGTTTTTTTTATCAGCCTCGTGTTACTTTTGGCTTGGTGTCTTCTAAGGCTGTAATTCCACAGGTTCAGCTGAAGCAGTTTATTCAGATTCAGAATCTGAAAATGTATATATTAACCATTCTTATGAAGGACAATTAAACTCTTTTATTCACATTGAGAAAAGTCTTGAACTATTAACTTTCCATAATGAGCTATTAAAATTATTGTTGGGAAAAAAAAACCATACATTCTTAAATAAAAATGTCTTCCTCCTCAATTTTCAGACTCTCACTTTGTGAAAACGCTCTTGCTGAATACTTGGAGACCAAACGTTTAGCTTTTCCCCGGTTCTATTTTGTTTCATCTGCTGATCTGCTAGATATTCTTTCAAAAGGAGCACAACCTAAACAGGTAAATTTTCTTGCCATCATATCTAAAGCATTAACTGCAAAGAAATGCTATACAATAAGCTGAACGAAAGAAATGATTAAAATCTGGGTAAACCTACAGTTTTTAAATTGTGTATTGTTTTTTAAATGCAGGTGACTTGCCATCTTATTAAACTTTTTGACAATACTGCTGATCTTAAATTTCAAGACAATGAAGATGAACACAGCAATATTGTATTAGGGATGTATAGCAAAGAAAAGGAATATGTCCCGTTCAATGAACAACTTGAATGTAGTGGTCAGGTATGTGATGCAATGAAGTGTGGTATTTTTCTTTGTGTTCTAAAGTTAGAAAATAATAAACAGCACTTAACAGACACTGTTTTGACTAGGTATAAAATACACATAAGCACACACGTATATTAATGAAAAGTTATAATTATGCATATATAAACAAAAGCAAAAATATTTCAGGTTCTATTTTCTTTTTTAATGAAATATGCATATCAAAGAACAATTTCTGTTTTACCTAACTGTTCAAATAAAATGATCCTTAAAATAAATGTGTTAAAATAATTACATTTTTGATGTTAACAGGTGCAGCAAAATACTTGTGTTCATTTACAATGAATTTTCATGACAATTCTCAATAAAATCACAGATAGCTTCCTCTTTTTAAAATTGTTGTCTAGGTTTATCTGGATAGTATGTCTATTTTATAGCAGACAAATTTCTACTTTATAAATTTCATCTTTATAAATTTTGAAAAAAATCAAAATTTTCTTATTCATCTCTTATTTTACTGTAGTCCTTCATTTTGGGAATGATCAATGGATGTTTGTGTTATCAAACACATTTAATTATGAGAGAATTGGAAGACAAGCTATGTTTAAACACTTTGGGCAATAATAAGGCAATTTGGGCTGCATTTTCTAATGCTGAAATTAAATTTCATACTATGAGCTGTCAAAATAAATATGCCATTTATTTATGAAAGTCTTTATGAGCAACCAATACTATTATAATAATCAAGGCTTAAATCCCAAAGACAATAAGAAAATGATTATGCTTGCTTAGGAATGATGTTGTTTTGGGTCAAGTTAATGCAGCAAAGTGTGATGGAAGACATAACAAATCTCAAGCATATTAAGTTATGATCATAAAATTATAATTTTATTAGGTCCTTCATTCCCAAAAAGACATCTTGAATACATTTTTGTTAGGCTATACAAAAGATTCTTAGAATTATTATTCTCTATGCTCTGTAAAATGCAGTAATATAATATTTTTCTTATTTTTTTCCATGCAGTTATGTAAAATATTCTATGGCAGCATGTTTTGATTGAATACCTTTTTATCTGATTGTTTGCTTACTCACTTGTTCTTTTAAATGTTATGTTCTTTATCTCTCTGTAATTTGTACACATGGGCTGTGTTCCTATGTAGCTCTTCATTCTAGAATTTACAAAAATGTTTGCTGAGTATCCGATTCATGCAAAGAATCCCTTCAATTTGTTTTTTTACTATCGCTGTTTAGTTTATTGAAACATATAGTTTAACGCAGAAGTTAAAAAAATACATTATACTGCATCCATTAAAAAAATCCCAATTCATTCCTGCATAGTGGAGATACACTTAGGGAAATAGGTCCAGAATTTAAAAATTGTCATAGAATTGGTACAAAAATTGGCTACAATTCTTGAAATTTCCAAAACCTAATCATTTAGTAGGTGGTACACAATCGTCATATAGAATAATCTGAATAGTTTGTAATTAGAGGAACATTAACTCTGCAATCCAAAAGGGAGATTGAACATTTCAGAAGGACATGCATTACTATTTTAATTTTAAAGTCTGAGCTGATGCACAAAAATTCTTGGCAAGGGTTATCATTGTCACACTGAGGTGACAGTGTACATCTCAACCACCATCAGTAGATGCTATGCATGAAAGAGGCCATTATTGTGTTGTCAGCAAATAGCAGAATGAAATTTGGCTGTAAAGGGTTTTTATTATGGCTTAAACAATATTGTTGATGTAAATATTAAATAGAAAGGCCTTAGAAGTTGGAATAAGGTCAGTAGTTTTGCACTATTTGAATGTTGGATTTGAACTGTAGTCCCTTCATGCAATATCATAATTGATTGCAAGAGCTGGTGATTGACAGGAAAAAAACCCTGCTGTTTGATGCCACATTCTCTCATGACAGCACCATGACAGAACATTGGTGTATTGTGCAGAGACTGTATATAGAGTAATGTATTGATTAGCAACTGAAAAATATGATCTAAAATGGGCTTGTTCCATTGCTAAGATTCTTTGTTGAATAATCTAATCAATAAATGTACAAAAATATTTAGCTTATAATTTGCTAATTATACATAGAAAGATTATAATAGATTAGTTAGTTGGGTTGAATTTGTCATCTCCTTGCTGATCATCACGAAATTTCACCTTCATCCTTGGACTATTTCTTCTGCCTCACTTGGAAATTGTTACTTTTCTTCTTAATGGTTTCTAGTGCCATTCCTGAGACAACTTTTGCTCTGGGTATCATTTAAGATAGATCTCACATTTGAATTCCAGTGCAGCATGACTTCTGATGCAAAGGTTACACTTGCTCTGCCATTCTAATTATTTCTGTCAAAACTACCCATTCTCTGGTTTTGTTCATTAATATAATTCATAGGCCCCACACTCACCTTGTTTTCTGAGTCAGGTGATTATACTTCTAAAACTATTTCTTTATGATCACCCAATCTACAAGTGAAGATCTCTATGGTTAGAGCCAACAAATTATAGAAGATCTCCTTAGAAGATCTCTATGGTTAGAGCCAACAAATTATAGGATGGTAAACACTCTTTGCCTTGAATTTCAGTTGTCTTCTCAGATGCTACAAGACCTAGTATATAAATTGGTTCCAGAAGCTGTTGCTTCATCCTGTATCAAAGAATCTCAATACTAGCTAAATTTGGACAATCTCACCAGGGTGTTTCCTTTGCAGTTCCCTCACCAATTTATCTCCTTATCATCAGTGTGCTACAATACATTAACAAGCTCAAATGTTTCACAGTTTGGAAGGTTCTCCAATTGTCCTAGAGTTTTCTTCAGAACCAAATATTATTGTTCATTTAATATTAGACAATTTGCAGCAGTTTGGGATATAAACAAGGAAAGTGGCACAAGATTTGCCCATCTCCTATATCTTATATTGCTGATATGGCTGTCAGGTTCCTGATTAGTCTGTTGATCATCTTCATTTAAGTGATCAGTGTGCCTGGATATGACAACACTCTTTATGAATACCTTATCCATTAAAAAAAACCAGACACTCATGAGTAAAAACTATATCTATCAGAACAATGATAATTGGACACAAAAATCCAGTTGGTGCAATCCGAAGGTCAACCTGTCACAATACAACATTATAGGCAATGTCTGATCTTTTGCTTCAGAGGTGGGTTTAATGAAGTAAAAAGATAGGATGGGATATGGAATATATTGTATGAGCAAGAAACTATTCACATAGTGACAAGTTAATTATAAGTGCAAATAACTTTCTGTGAATTGAATCCAATATGCCTAATTGTTACCTGAAAAGGTAGAAACCTGGTTAAAATGCCTGGAAGATACCATGCACGAATCAGTACGTTATCACATCATAGAAGCTATTTCTGTTTATGAGGAAAAACCAAGAGAACAGTGGATCATTGATTATCCTGCACAAGTAGCACTTACTGGTTCTCAAATCTGGTGGACTACAGATGTGGGAATAGCATTCAGCAGGCTTGAAGAAGGATTTGAAACTGCTTTGAAAGATTATCATAAGAAACAGGTATTGATGTCACTCTTACATATAAGCTACAAGACCATATCTTAAATAGAGTTTTCAATTGTATATAAAATGAGGGGTGGGAGGGGAAAGCTGCAGCACAACTGTAAAGCAATTTCATTTTTACTTATTTATATACCACTTTTATTTATTTTTGCAAATAAGGCAGCAAACTTTCTTTTCTGATTTTCTTACAACAACAACCCCGTGAGGTAAATTGGGCTGACAATAACTGGCCCAAGATCCAACTGGCTTCCATAGCTAATGTGGGACTTGAACTCGTGGTCTCTTGGTTTCTTGCCTGGTGCCTTAACCACTAGAACAAATTGGTGAAATAGGTGGCTATATAAACCAAAGTAATAAATATACAGATCAATCAATAAATAAACTACATAACAGATGAATACCAAAGATTTGATATATAAAATATAATATAACATTATTTATGTGTGTCTTTCTTAGGTTACTCAGCTAAATGCTCTTATTGCCCTACTACTGGGTGACCTGACACCAAGTGACAGACAGAAGATTATGACTATTTGTACAGTAGATGTACATGCTAGGGATGTGGTGGCAAAGCTTCTATCTCAGAAGGTAAACCCACTAGTTATTGTTTTACATTTAGGCCACTATTCTGAATCTATTCTTAATCTAGTATAAATGTACTTCCTTGTACAACTTGCCTTGTGGTGCGAGTGGAACAATCTGGAACTAAACACATTCAAAACCATAGAAATGGTGGTAGACTTTAGGAAAAACCCTCCCATACTAACCACCTCTTACAATACTTGACAACACAGTATCAACAGTAGAAACCTTCAAATTTCTAGGTTCTATCATACCACAAGACCTAAAATGGACATCTAACATCAAAAACATCATCAAAAAAGCACAACAAAGAATGTTCTTTCTGCGCCAACTCAGAAAGCTCAAACTGCCCAAGGAGCTGCTAAAGATTCAGTTCTACAGAGGAATCATTGAGTCTGTTATCAGCACCTGTATAACTGTCTGGTTTGGTTCTGCAACCCAACAAGACAGACACAGACTCCAGAGAGTAATTAGGACTGCAGAAAAAACAGTTGCTACCAATTTGCCTTCAATCAAGGACCTGTATGCTGCATGAGTCAAAAAGAGGGCTGCGAAATTCTTACAGACCCCTCACATCCTAGACATAAACTGTTTCAACTCCTACCCTCAAAACGACGCTATAGAGCACTGCACACCTGAACAAAACTAGACATAAGGACAGTTTTTTCTTGAACGCATCACTGCTAAACAAATAATTCCCTCAACACTGTTCAACTATTAAAAAGTGTGCACTACTATTACTATTAATCTTCTCATCACTCCTTATCACCCATCCCCTCCCACTTGTGACTGTATGATTGTAACTTTGTTGCTTGTATCCTTATGATTTATATTGACTGTTTCCTAGTATGATTTGATTGCTTATTGTACCCTATTACTATTATTAAGTGTTGTACCTGGTGATTCTTGACTCTTGACGAATGTATCTTTTCTTTTATGTACACTGAAAGCATTTGCACCAAGACAAATTCCTTGTGTGTCCAATCACACTTGGCCAATAAAGAATCCTATTCTATTCTATCTATTCTATTCTTAAATACTATAGTTGATGTGCTTTTCCATATCTACTGTGGTCTGCCTGGAGAGACAATATTTAGCATCCATTTATTTTAAACTAGAAATTCCTGTTATTTCTGGTCTCTAGCTGAGATCCCCATTTGTTTTTTGGATTTGGATTTCTTGAAAATTCACTTTCTCTGTTTATATGCCATAACTGTCTAAATGGGTGAATGCAGATTGAGAATAAGTGCCTTACAGTAGATCAAGGGATTCAGAGCTAAAAACCACAAAAATAAATTTTACAAACTGAGATTAGAAAAATAACAGGAAAAAAAAACAACTTATTATGTTTTATGTCTTCCTCTTCCTCTGCCTGAACCTTCTGCAGTGGATTATTAATGGAAATAAAATAAGGAATGTTATCTATATATACTATTATATTTAACATTTCTTCTGATAAGACTCCCAAAGGATTGCATTGATGTTCCTTTGACGATGTTAAAGGCAATTGAAACATGTTTCTATAACTTTAGTTTCTTAATTTCCATTGACATCATTGATATTTTAAAGACAATCAGCAGCATATGATGTTGCAAATGTTAGAAAAGAACCAAATGAGATATTGAAGATATAATTGTTTGATGGAGTTCAAAGAGTGTCAATAAAATCAGATATAAGGAATAAAATGATATGAATGATGTTGAAAGGCACATATAAAATTGACTCATGTCAAATACCCGCAGTTTGTTTCTTGTTAATGTGAGAATGGAAGAGAAAATTACCTTAGCAGCAATTCTATTATCTGTTGCAACTAAAGTCTCCATTAAAAAGGCAATCCTATATTGCATTTAATTTGCTATGGTGCAGAGGTGCCTGGGGATGAATCTAAACTTTTATAATTGCAGACACTGGAGTTACATATAAATGATTGTGAATAAGGCTGGTGATGATAGCATAGATATTTTGGCATTGACTGTGTTCTTTATTTTTTAAAGTATCTGCATAAATAACAGTTTTACAATATGATGTTTTTATAGGTTGCTAGTTCCCAAGCTTTCCCTTGGCTTTCGCAACTACGCCATAGATGGGATTGGACCCTAAAACACTGCTTTGTCAACATTTGTGATGCTCAGTTTCAATATTATTATGAGTATTTGGGAAATACTCCTCGGCTAGTTATTACACCTTTGACTGACAGGTAATATTTGTCTAATAATGGCCCTCCCTGACTTGTTTTGCAGAATTTCCTATTATACAGAAAAATCTCCTCTTATCCTTCCCAGTGAAAAAAATATTAATATTATAAATTATTATTATTATTATTATTATTATTATTATTATTATTATTATTATT